TCAAGCACACACACGTCTAGTGAGTGCTGGCGGTAAAACGATGTAGTCAATTATGCACTAATAGGGCACGGTTAATCTGGTTAACCCTACATCACTCGACTCTTGACTTTCCTGTAACTCGTGGAAAACATGAAGTACTTATTAGCCGGTTCACTCATGTTAATTTGCCGCGGTTGAGCTGCGCTGTGTCGTTTTAAATTTAGGCAAAAATAGGGATAGTTGTGGGGGTGGGGGGTATTTGACGGTGGGAGAAGGGGTATGTTTCTTCGGTTAGTTCCACGTTAGTCCCCCCCCCCACCCCCGAGCTCGCCCATATACACTCTAGCTCACTTCTTATTGGTACTTCCTTAGCAGCGCAGCCTTTGCATACTGCTACTGGAGTGTTCTGCAATGCCGTTAATATTGCGTGTTGTATACTTTAGCACGTCAGCGCTTTTAACACTACAAAAACATGGGCAAACAGGGTCTAACACGCAAACCCCTAAGAGAGTGATGCAACCTATGTCACAGGTATTCTCTTTCTCGGAAGAAAAACGAAAATGCAAGACAAGCCAGAAAGCAAACAACAGAGACGCACACTGTAACCCCCCGGAAAGTAGACCAGTCTAACAAAGTTATCAATGGAACGTGAAATACTTTGAGGAGAATAATGTCGAACTAAAGGTTTTTTCTTCTTCAAGTCTACGCCGTGTGGCGTTGGTAGTTATGTCTATCAACAACCTTCTGTCTCGTGTACTGTCAATCAACTCTGACACAGATGATCCTTAATGCCATTATGTCAAACTGTCCATCATCTTTTCTCCTCCTCTGCAACTTTCCTATTGTCACGATGTACTCTAGTTCTCTTAGTCTCATCAAATGAACAGCTGACCGAGTGGTTACAACGTTGGGCTCTAAGGTGGGAGACCCAGATTCGACCCCCGGTAAGGTGATGGAGTTTTTTTTTTTTTTTTAGTCGGGGTCAAAACAATACATGCCATCGTGTACAGTCCGTGGCAACAGCACTAGCCGCGAAGCCCTGAACCCTCAGGCTCACGACTCCCTGTCTACGCAGCCCTAAAATGGTGGTAATACAGACAGTATTAACAATTTGTATGTGGCAGTTATCACATGAATGTTACAAATGTAGACTCTCTCTTCTTTATGTGGGCAATCGGTTCTCTTTGTGATTCAGTTTCTTTCGAGATATTTGCATTACCTTTTTTATTTGTCCAGGGTTTCTCATTATTCATCTATAGTACTGAGAAGTCTAGAACAGATTTAATATTGAGAGAACCGACTTCAGTGTACTGCGTTATTTCTGATATACCTCTACCCCTCTTTACCACATTCCTCCTCTCCCCATAAAACGACAAGCCGGCTGAGAATCCCACACAAAGTACAAGCTACGGAGATCCAGCAACGATCAACAAGTATCTCCGTTAAAATGCATTCGTAAATCGGGCTAACACACGGGCCTTATAGCGAAGGAGAGAACGACTTGGCGTGAGTTGGTTGAGGGCCTATGCCCCATTGGATCTAGAAGGCAGAAAACAAATGGTGCATTAGAACCCTCCGAATCTGTATGTAGCCGAACATAATAACGTGTACGCTTGCAGTCGAAATGTTACATCTAAGTTACTGGCGACCTGGTCGCCCATTGACTCACGAGCAGACGACTTCGTCCTGTCTCCGCTGATCGCATCAACACTGCAGGAGTTCTTGTTAGCGCTCTTGGTGGCGTGCAATATTCAGCTTTTTTTATATGCCGCACCTTACCTAGTTATAATTATAACCTGAAGCTACCCATTTTGAGCATCTTACCTAGTTATAATTATAACCTGAAGCTACCCCTTTTGAGCATCTTACCTAGTTATAATTATAACCTGAAGCTACCCCTTTTGAGTATCTTACCTAGTTATAATTATAACCTGAAGCTACCCCTTTTGAGCATCTTACCTAGTTGTAATTATAACCTGAAGCTACCCCTTTTGAGCATCTTACCTAGTTATAATTGTAACCTGAAGCTGAGCATCTTACCTAGTTATAATTAGAACCTGAAGCTACCCCTTTTGAGCATCTTACCTAGTTTATAATTATAACCTAGCTACCTCTTGTGAGCATTACCTAACCTGAAGCTGCCCCTTTTGAGCATCTTACCTAGTTATAATTATAACCTGAAGCTTTGAGCCCCCTAGTTGTAATTATTGAAGCCCCTTTTGAGCCTGACCTAGTTGTAATTATAACCTGAAGCTACCCCTTTTGAGCATCTTACCTAGTTGTAATTTAACCTGAGGTAATTATAACCTGATAAGCTAACCTGAAGCTTTTGAGCATCTTACCTAGTTGTAATTATAACCTGAAGCTACCCTTTTGAGCATCTTACCTAGTTGTAATTATTATAACCTGAGCATCTACCCTTTTGAAGCATCGTTTTTACCTAGTTGTAATTATAACCTGAAGCTACCCCTTTTGAGCATCTTACCTAGTTATAATTATAACCTGAAGCTACCCCTTTTGAGCATCTTACCTAGTTGTAATTATAACCTGAAGCTACCCCTTTTGAGCATCTTACCTAGTTGTAATTATAACCTGAAGCTACCCCTTTTGAGCATCTTACCTAGTTGTAATTATAACCTGAAGCTACCCTTTTGAGCATCTTACCTAGTTGTAATTATAACCTGAAGCTACCCCTTTTGAGCATCTTACCTAGTTGTAATTATAACCTGAAGCTACCCCTTTTGAGCATCTTACCTAGTTGTAATTATAACCTGAAGCTACCCCTTTTGAGCATCTTACCTAGTTATAATTATAACCTGAAGCTACCCCTTTTGAGCATCTTACCTAGTTGTAATTATTGAAGCTACCCCTTTTGAGCATCTTACCTAGTTGTAATTATACCCCTGAAGCTACCCCTTTTGAGCATCTTACCTAGTTGTAATTATATAACCTGAAGCTACCCCTTTTGAGCATCTTACCTAGTTGTAATTATAACCTGAAGCTACCCCTTTTGAGCATCTTACCTAGTTGTAATTATAACCTGAAGCTACCCCTTTTGAGCATCTTACCTAGTTGTAATTATAACCTGAAGCTACCCTTTTGAGCATCTTACCTAGTTGTAATTATAACCTGAAGCTACCCCTTTTGAGCATCTTACCTAGTTGTAATTATAACCTGAAGCTACCCCTTTTGAGCATCTTACCTAGTTGTTAATTATAACCTGAAGCTACCCCTTTTGAGCATCTTACCTAGTTGTAATTATAACCTGAAGCTACCCTTTTTGAGCATCTTACCTAGTTGTAATTATAACCTGAAGCTACCCCTTTTGAGCATCTTACCTAGTTGTAATTATAACCTGAAGCTACCCCTTTTGAGCATCTGACCTAGTTGTAATTATACCTGAGGGCTACCCCTTTGAGCACCTTACCTAGTTGTAATTATAACCTGAAGCTACCCCTTTTGAGCATCTTACCTAGTTGTAATTATAACCTGAAGCTACCCTTTTTGAGCATCTTACCTAGTTGTAATTATAACCTGAAGCTACCCCTTTTGAGCATCCCTAATTTAACCATAAGCTACCCCTTTTGAGCATCTGACCTAGTTGTAATTATAACCTGAAGCTACCCTTTTGAGCATCTTACCTAGTTGTAATTATAGCCTGAAGCTACCCTTTTGAGCATCTTACCTAGTTATAATTATAACCTGAAGCTACCCCTTTTGAGCATCTTACCTAGTTGTAATTATAACCTGAAGCTACCCCTTTTGAGATTCTGGTTGAACGTGATGATTTACATAGTTGTTGTTGTTGTTTTTTTTTCAGCAAAAGATCTATCTACTTTAGATCTCGGCGAACGAAACCACTGATTGAAGAAATCACTCAATAATTTGAAGAACAAAAAATATCTGCTGTCTCTACAATGAATGTTGGCTATCGTGTACCACCAACTGTCTTTTGCAATCTGCTTCAGTTCACGTTTCCCTGCCCATCTACACACTGTCTGACCTATCATTCATAATTTCTCAGACTTCTCTAAGTCGGAGGGGTGTGACGTTGTCTTGCTTCAAATTTTATCAGTGTCGACGTCGCATGTTTATATACTACACGACGACACAGCTTTCAACTGCCCCTTAAAATCTAGAACTGGCCATAACCCAAACCTCTCACCCACAGCCTGAGCCCAGGTCTCACGAGAGGCTCTTTTTAACGAAAGCAGTTCAACGTGACACCCTTCTGACCTAGATCAGACTGAGAAATTGTATAGATGGACCTGGAAACGTGAACAGATCCAGGAATATTACTTGGTGAGGCTCCAGACTCTTGTGAATGGCTAAAAGTATCTCAAATAAGATGCGCAAATTACTGGCAGCTAGAGAGAGAAACAACACACTGAAAATGAGAATCATCAAATGGTATGTGTACCCAATCTTGCTATATGGTGCAGAAACTAGGACAATAAACAAGCAACAAGAAAATCGAACTGGGTCTCTGGAAGGGTGGGGATGCAGTAGAATAGGTCAAATTTCATGAAAACAAAAACAATCTAATGCAGAGGTTCTGAAAGGACTACAAATGAGTAGAAAATTGCTGAAATAAACAGAGACAATTGAAATACTTTGGCGACATTAAAAGACATAACAAGCAGTTGAAAACCATACTGGGGGGAAAGGAGGTCAAGGGCAAGAGAGCTACAGGTGGGCAACGATTTGAGTGGGAGGACAATATTAAGAAATGGACTGGCAGCGGCCTGAGAGAGAGTATAATCAGGACAAAAGACAGAGCATGTTGGAGATCCATTGCAGCCACCCTTCACTGTGGAGACGACACCTTATTGATTGAAACTCTTCCACGGCATGGCTCTGATGTCTTTGTCTGAAAACCACAAGAACGGCTTTTGCCGTCAACTGAAGACAAGAAACACAATCAGGAAATTTTTAACCGTATTCAGCAATCTCTAAGCCACTGAGCCGCACTATAATGTAATTTATAGGGTCTTTTTTATCTTGTTTTTCAGGATGAAAAGATGGGCCTCACTCGGTGCGGCAAGTTCCTCAAATATTCCATGTTCCTTTTCAATGCCGTCATACTGGTAAGTGTAGACTGTCAGAGCTCTGTGTAACAGGTATCTATCTATCTATCTATCTATCTATCTATCTATCTATCTATCTATCTATCTATCTATCTATCTATCTATCTATCTATCTATCTATCTATCTATCTATCTATCTATCTATCTATCTATCTATCTATCTATCTATCTATCTATCTATCTATCTATCTATCTATCTATCTATCTATCTATCTATCTATCTATCTATCTATCTATCTATCTATCTATCTATCTATCTATCTATCTATCTATCTATCTATCTATCTATCTATCTATCTATCTATCTATCTATCTATCTATCTATCTATCTATCTATCTATCTATCTATCTATCTATCTATCTATCTATTCTATCTATCTATCTATCTATCTATTCTATCTATCTATCTCTATCTATCTATCTATCTATCTATCTATCTATCTATCTATCTATCTATCTATCTATCTATCTATCTATCTATCTATCTATCTATCTCTCTCTCTCTCTCTCTCTCTGTCGGTCGGTCGTCCGGTCGGTCGGTCGGTCGTCGGTCGGTCGGTCGGTCGGTCGGTCGGTCGGTCGGTCGGTCGGTCGGTCGGTCGGTCGGTCGGTCGGTCGGTCGGTCGGTCGGTCGGTCCGTCCGTCCGTCCGTCCGTCGGTCCGTCCGTCGGTCCGTCCGTCCGTTGGTCCGTCCGTTCGTCTGTCTGTCTGTGAATATGTCTGTCCATATATTTGTTTATTTGTTAATCTTTTATTTGTCTGTTATCCTGTTTGCTCGTCTGTCCGCATTATGTCGCTTCATCCCTTTCCTCATTTGTTTATATTTCCTTTCAAATGTATATTTCTAGCCTTCTGAAAAGGTATGGACATTGATACGTATGATTATATAGCTTTGGAATCAATCTCAACCAGATTTAGCCAGATGTGCAGATCGCGAAGAAGGTGTTAGGAATCTCGGTTCCTTATTACACAAAAACATGGCTTCCACTACACTGTGATATTAGTAGAGGAAACATGTATTTTCTCTGTTTTTTTTTTTTTTAATTTTCTTTTTCTTTTTCTTCATTTTTTTTCCTCTTCTTCTTCTTCTTTCTTCTTCTTCTTCTTCTTCTTCTTTTTCTTCTTCTTTTTCTTCTTCTTCTTCTTCTTCTTCTTCTTCTTCTTCTTCTTCTTCTTCTTTCTTCTTCTTCTTCTTCTCTTCTTCGTCGTCGTCTTCTTTTTCTTCTTCTTGTACTTCTTCTTTTTCTTCGTCTTTTTCTTCTTCTTCTTCTTCTTCTTCTTCTTCTTCTTCTTCTTCTTCTTCTTCTTCTTCTTCTTCTTCTTCTTCTTCTTCTTCTTCTTCTTCTTCTTTTTCTTCTTTCTTCTTCTTCTTCTTCTTCTTCTTCTTCTTCTTCTTCTTCTTCTCGTCTTCTTCTGCTTCTTTTTCTTCTTTTTCTGCTTCTGCCATATATCCTTCATGTCGTCATAGACCTTTATCCAACCTAATGTTCTTGACAGTAAAGGTTGCTGGCTTGATGTTAAACGCATCACTCATCCAGCGTCGTTGGTCTCTTTGGCAATTTTACTACAATAGCAGCAGTACTCAGTATAATTTCCTAGCGTCTGTTGACGACCTGTGTTTCCATGCTACAAAACGATATTGATCTGATGCTCGTCAGAAAAATTGCAGTTATATAATTTGTTTCGTGGCTGTTTTAGCTTTGAGGCTGTGCAGGTCTGGTTTTTATAGAAGACCGGCGTGATGTACACGGAGAGATGACACCAGAAATGAAGATGTCTTGAAAGAAAAAATCTCGCGATAAGAAATAATTATCGACATTAAATTGAGATTACAAATGTTTTGGGCACGTTGTACGAATTGGAAAACTGGTGCGCTTTGACATCTGGAAAGATAATGGGGAAAAGGTGCAAAGAAAATCTGTATACCAAACTATCGACATCGAATTGTTTGTTCTTCATCTAATATATCTTTCGTTTTAATTATAGTTCTTGTTTGTTTATGTGTTTGCTTGGTTGTATATTTGTTTGTTTTGTTTTTAACTGTGTGTGTTTGTTTATTTATTAAAACAGTTTAATATGTTGTTATAGTTTTCTTTTCTTGACATTCCAACCGTTATGTTTCGTTTCTTAACACCCTTTGCTAACCCCATTGTTAGCATTTCCGTTTATTTTGCACTTCAAGGATTATTAGTCCGTGTTACTTGTGTGTTTATTTTGGAAATGGTTGCTGAAGCTACTGAGCTCTTGCTTTGTGCGACGATCTCAGCACGAGGCTAGGTGCTATGCGGATAGAAAACGAGCCATGTGAGGGTCTGACTGACTAACTGACTTTCTACCACACTAGGACATCACACAAGCGATAAGCACCCGATGACACAAAGTGCCACCATGTGGATGAGGATCGCCGTGGAGAGGTCCCAGAAACCGCGTTCAGATAATTGGCCATATTTATAACCTGCCTATATTGCGGCCCCTGGCAAAAGCCAGGGTCGGGCTTCAAATAACAAAAAATCTCATCCTAAAAAGGACGAAACTGGATATTTCTCTAGAATGTGGGGGTCTCGATGCAATGAAGCTTATACTCTCAACTTTAACTTTGTTTACTGTTGTGGCGTAGGATGCCTGTTGTTTACTCGTTGATAAAGATTTTGCCTGAAATGTTGGTTTGTATCTTTCTTTTATCAAGCTGTTTAGTGATATTTTGTGTTGTGCTCTTGTAGTTTCATTTCTGTCAGCCCCAGGCAGACATTACTTCAACTTAGTAAATCATCAATATTTGTCACTCAACGTAAAACATGTCTGGGTCCAACAAATTTTATAATAACTTCAGGGGCTACGTGAGTTGCGCTAAACAGCGGGATATACTGGGTTATTGTATTAACTAAATGAGGAATAGAGAAATAAGCATATTCCTCGTCTTTTCAAAGTTCAGCAAGGAACGTCCATGTTACCAGTACGTGCAATTTTGCAGAGATGATCAATAGAAGCAGGTATTGTATCTTTATCTTCAGTAGCAAGATTTTAATTTCTCTATATTAGTGTCAGCCTAACTATAATTGATGCTGTTTGCACAGTTTTTGTTGTTGTTGTTTCTAATGCTGCTGTTTTGTTGCGTTCTGTTGTTGTTGTCATCCACGTTTTTTTTTTTTTTCATGCAATAAAAATAGTTGAATTGTATTCATATGTCATTTGTAGTGTGCTATCATCTATATTTATTGTCTGCTGTTGGGACGTTTGTTATGTTATATTATATGTATTTAGCAAAGTTTTTATGTTTGTTGATTTTAATAGTTTCTTTTTTTTCTATAGAAATCAAAGGTAGTCGTTGTGGTGTAGCGACTAGACACCCATCTGTGGATCCGAAGGTCATGGGTTCAAATTTGAACGCTGGACTTTTTTTTTCCACAAACTACCTTGACCCTCCTCAGGTCGGCCTGGTATCAGGTGAAAGTACATAGACTGAAGTTGGCCGACGTGATTTGACCAGATAACTCACTCAGTGTTAGACTGATCTATAAAATACAGGTCTAGTACTATATTTCCATCAAGCCTGAGGGCGTGCAGAGCGGCCCTTAAATTGAGTATCTTCAACTTGTCTCTCTCTCACGTGTCGCGTCTTTTTATAATAACACGTTCTTCGTTTTTTAAATGTACATTTGTGACCACAGTCGCTTCTGTGGCAAAGTCGATGCGAACGCTTCGTAATGCCGGGCTGCCGGGTTCGATTCCAGCTGCGCCTTGCGTTGGTTTCGACAGTGGTATCAGGGAGCAACCGTCTAGAAAGCAATGGCAAACTACTAGACGTAATTTGCCTAGAGAAACCACAGAACAGCTAGGGGCTGCTGGGGTTGGTTCTGCAACGTCCTGTAAAGGATACGCAACCAAGCTATTTGTGTCCACACAAAATCGTATCTGTTTAACAGCAGAGTGCGCAACATAATGGATGGTAATATTTCGCCCGATGGATTTTAAATTGTTTGCTAAAATCAGTCTACCCCAGTATTTCCCACTTATTGGTCCACAGATACTCGCGTGTCCACGCAACACATTTTCAACTTTTTGACAAAATCAGTTTACCCCAGTATTTTTCCACTTACTCGTCTATGGACACTCGTGTGTCCACTCAACACATTTTCAACTGTTTGCTAAAATCAGTCTGCCCCAGTATTTCCCACTTACTGATACACGGACTCCCGTATGTCCACGCAACACATTTAAGGGATCCTTGGTATCATTTTCACAACTGTAAGCTGTCTGTCATTATTGTCTCTTTTACCACTTTTTAGGGTTGTGTAGATAGGGAGGCCTCTGGATGAAGATTTAGGGCCGCCTAGTTAGTGCCGTCGCCACAGACTGTTAAAGTTTGGATGTTTAATTTTATCCCCGACACAAACAAATCTATCACCTTACCGGGGGTCAAACTACTCGGTTTACCAGTTTTAAAGCCGAAAGATGTAAACATCGGGGAATGAATAGTGAGAAGCAATAATGAAATTTATGATCTGTTTGAATCACTATTGATCATTGCCATCATATGAGCTAAAGGGTTGAAATGACTGGGGCATATTGAGAGAATGTAAGATGATAGATAGGAAAAAAACTGTACACACAAGGGAGATGAATGGCCGTAGACCACAAGGCAGACCAAGAAGATCATAGAGTGATAATGTCCAGAAAGACCTGCAAATACTTGGTGTTACCAACTGAAAAGAAAAGGCCAAACAGAGAGATGAAGTGAAGGGAGGTGAAATCAGCAGCAATAAAACTCAAGGGCTCAGAACTGAAGAAGAGGAAAAAGAGGAAGAAGAAGAAGAAGAAGAAGAAGAAGAAGAAGAAGAAGAAGAAGAAGAAGAAGAAGAAGAAGAAGAAAGAAGAGAAAAGAAGAAGAAGAAGAAGAAGAAGAAGAAAAAAGACGAGCAAGAAGAAGTAGCAAGAAGAAGAAGAAGAAGAAGAAGAAGAAGAAGAAGAAGAAGAAGAAGAAGAAGAAGAAGAAGAAGAAG